AGGTGAGATGTGGTAGGTGAGCGGTACCACATTACAAAAGTGTCCTTTTACTTTAGTTCATTAATTGGGGGTCAAAATAACAATATTAATCGAATCTAAAAAATATATTCAATTCTTTTTGTTCACCCTCCTTGCATAAATTTCTCTAACGTTGATTCAACTCACTGACAATACTAAACCCAATGTTCCAAGAGAATTCAACACTTTCAAATCCAGCAACATGGGAACTAGAATTCTGGCCCCTTTTCTAAATTGGCCTAAAAATTCAGGCGTTCTACTTCCTCCTTTTTCAAGCCCATGTTATAGATCTTTAAAATAAATAGTACGACGAGCTTGAAGCCGGTAGTAAGCTTACGAATGAGACCCGTAGGAAGAGAATGGGATCTCCGACGAAGAGGAAGAAGGTGCAACGCTGACTAAATAGAGGCGAGGAATAAGAATGCGTCCTTCGCCTCAACTACGATAATAGCATTGATGCTGATAATGGTGCGCGACAGTGGTTTCTAAAGTTTTAACGGATCTGCAAGAGAATCATGATTACAAAGAAGACAAACCCTGTGTTAAAATTTCTACGACGATGTAGAAGTCAACCAACAAGAGGACATCACTGACTCATGAAGGAATGAGGTCTTGTTATGCTACAAGCTATTCTTTGCAGGCAATTCCCAGCCTTTAAAGCAGCAGAAAGTAAGGACTTTCGGGGGTGCAGAGCTATACTTGGGGAGGAGACGGTGTCAAAATTATTCATTTACAGGATCACAGAGGGTTTTATGTGGATTTGGCAAGCGTCGTTAATAAGCCCGATGAAGTAAAGGACCTCTTGGTTGGTCGATGATCATATGTTGGATGTTCTGTTACCGACGTTAGAGAGTTCACCAAATTTGAAAAATCTTTCTTTGAAGGGTTTTTTTAGGGATCATTATCTTCATTTTGCAGTCAAAGTTGATCCCATCGATCATTTAGTATTTGTTAAACATATTGATACTATAATGGTGTTTGAGCTCAGGGAGCGTGAGCTAATAGGCATCTTATTAATGGGACACACATTCTAGTTATAGGAATATGGCGGTCCTTCAATGGTGATGATGGTGGAGGTGGCAGAGAGGCAGAGAATTGTGGTCAGGAGACTCATACTGATTTTTTTATATGTAGTTTAAGCATTTGAATTTCTTTAATGATGTCAAAATTATGCAATCTCAGGCTCTTTGGATTTGTCTCGTCGAGACACTCGATTTGATTATAAACTTTTTAGATTTGAAGATCATTTGATCCTCTAAAGTTTATACTAAAATTTATGCTTATGCTTATGTGCATAATCTGGGCTCATCTTGACAACTGATCATTTTATGTCTTTTGGTTTGTCTTACTGAGACACTTCATTTGATTGTAAATTTGGGTGTGGATAATTTTTAATTTAATTTTTAAAACTTATGATTCTAATGCGCATCCAGATTAGTGATCAAGAGAATTTTTTAGGGATGTACTAATATCATGACTTATTATTATTATTGGATTCATTTCACCATGCACTCATCCTAAGAATAAATTTATTAAAAATAAAATTTTGATGATCCCAAAATCTATCCCAAACATTTAGTTTGAATATCGGGATTCTTTGAAATTTACAACTTGCAACAAGAGTACTATTTATTCGATTGAATTTTCGTGACATATCAAGCTTAAAAGAGAAAACAAGTTGAACATGCAAAATTAGAAGTCGTGGTACATATCATGATAAAGCACATGAAATATATGCCAGATCAATCCATCATGCGCTTGCATATGTGAAGTTCATATGGAAAATGGGCGTTATGTTCTGTCTAAGTTTTCAGGGAAATTTACTTAAGTAGCACACAATTCTTATGTATTTACATATCTCACAGTTAAACCTTTATATTTACATATAAAAAATAATGGTGTTATTGTTTATGTGATATTAACAATTCGAGTGTTATGCGTGTAAATATGAAAGTTGGGTATTATAAAAGTAAGTCCATAAGCATATTGAGCTATGCATGTAAAAGCTTCTAATTTTTAATATTATTTTTCAAGGATAAGACCAATAATTCATTAATTTTTTTTGTTTGATTCAGATTGGTACTTTCTTTTTCCCTTTCTTAACTAAGCTAAAATGATATCTCTAAATATGGGTGTAGAAACATATAGTGCAAATAAAAACTTATATTTCTTCGTGTTATTTATATTTTTTGTTATAATTTTATTTCAAATCTTTGTACATAAATTATTATTTTTGTTAAGATTTTTTTGTCAATGAAAAAAAAAAAAAAAATAATATTAAGCTTCTTATTGCATATGTATGAGCTTTTACTGAATGACACATCCAAGGCTATAGATTATACATCCAGTAGCTCTGATTATCATCCCCAAATCTTCTTTTCTATCAACCCTAAGAATATCAATTGCTCTAGCTTTTAGCATAATGAATGAATGATTGGTTTCAAAAAAGAAGAGATATAGGAAAAGAACACAACCTAAAGGTGTAATGAAATTTCTCGACTATCCATTGTATGTTTCCTAAGAACATCTTCATTGTAGAGAAGCCTAGAACTTAGTTACATGATTCAATAGATTCCATAACTCAAATTTGATCATACATTATCTTGAATTCTGAAGCATTTAGAAATTAATAATGTACATGAGAGTGGGTATTCATTATGAAGACCAAGCTCTAGTAATTTTTTTTTAGTGATTTTTGGTTTTATTTTTTGAGAGGAATTCAAGGGTGATATGTTATTTTTGAGAACTTACTTGGGACTTGAAAAACCACTTAATCAAAGTCAAAAAGACTTCCCCACTCAATTGATTATTTTTTTCTTACAAAAAAATTTAGGACCTTAGATTAGCTATTGGAGTAATTGAAATGGTGGATGAATGTGAGCAACTTGATCACATAATCATAAGTAGAGAATCATTCTAACTTGGAATAAGAAGATTTGCAAGATTAGATGATCCAAAGTTCATGTGCAATTATCTTCGGCATTTGACCATGTATTTAGGCTATAATTGTGTAAGGTTTAGCTAATGGAGGAGTTGGACTAGCCCAAATTAGTTAGAATTGGGCTTAGGTAGAATTGGGTATATTGGGTTTATATTCTGCTAATTTGGGTCTATGATCATTTTTGGCTCATCTAAAAGTTAATTAGGCTCAATTTGACATGGTTTATTTATTGCAATCAAATGTAGGCATTGACTTATATCAATTCAACAAATTTGAGGGTTTAGTTTATTAACAAGTATAATCAGAGATCGAAAAGTGCATTTTTATTCTAGGTTCAAGAGTCTCTCAGAGGAACATATCCTTCTAGTTAATTACCTCCTAGGGGATACAAAGGAATAATCTCGATAAAATGCATTTCACTAAGCCATCAAAGGATGATTATTTCTTATAGGAACGCCATGATGCTTTAAAGCTCTCACTAAGCCACAAGGCAGAGAGTGAGTCTCTCACATCCCAAATAGGCAGTGGCTTGTCGACATATAGAGCCTACGAAATAACCTTAATCATCTTGACTGGGATATCTCAATATGTCAGAGCTCACCGAGTCATAAGGGCAAGGGTGAATCACTGTATCTCAAATGTGATGCAGCTCATTGGTAATTGGGTCGTCAAGATGGTATCAACAAAGTCAAAGAAGCAAAATAGATCAAAGGGGCATAGCAAGAGGAAGGGTAATGTAATTTTAAAAGGTAGAGGTAGTTGGGTCTGGATACCACAGATCTGTCATCCCAAGGTACGAGGACCCCAAGTCTACCTTGTCGTG